GGACGACAGAGCAGCCACAATCTTGAAAAGTGAATGAGATGAGGCACAAAATGTCCACCCTAAGTCACATCTGCTCACATTCCCTGACCAAAACAGGTCAAATGGCCACACCTAATTTAATTGGGTGTTGTTGTTGTAATATGCCATCAAGTCGATTTCGACTCATAGCGACGCCTCCTTGGGTTTCCGAGGCAGTATCACTATGGAAACAGATTGCCCCAACTTCCTTCTGAGGAGTGGCCAGTAGGTTTGAATTGCCAGCCTTCTGGTTAGTAGTCAAATGCCTTAGGTACTACGCCACCAGAGCTCCTAGGAAGGTGCAATCCTACCAAGAACCTGACTCAAATGTTTGTGAATATGCTTAATAACCCTGAACATGGTATCTCCAGCCCAACACTGCAACCCTTTTTGTTTCAGCACCCACAGTTAATTGATTCCTATTTTCCATGTGTCTTATGTCACACTGCAGCGAGAGAGAAACTGACTGGCCCAGCTCATCTTTGCCTGACAGGCCTGGTTAGCCTATGGATCTTCCCTGAGTCCTGGCCAATTAGCTGGGGAACCAGGCAGGATACACATTATAACACATTGTAGGCCAACCCATCCTCTAACCCCCAGCGGAGGGAATAAGAGGTCAGGGACTGTGAAGTGTGACTAGTATAAAAAGAATTTGAGTTAAAGTCATGATATTTCACTAGTTCTAGTTCTTAATGAAGGAGTCGCTGGGTGGCACAAACAATTCAGCACACTGCTACTAACTGAAAGTTTGGCAGTTTGAACCCACCCAGAGGCATCTCGGAAGAAAGGCCTGGTGATCTGCTTCCAGAAGGTCACAGCCTTGAAAACCCTCTGGGGCACAGTTCTATTCTGCAACACGTGGGGTTGCCAGGAGTCAAAATCTACCTTAAAGCAACTGTTTGGTTAGTACTCAATGACATGAATGGTGTGGTCCCATGAAGCTGGGTCAGGCCTGGTTGATTGTTGGACTATCCATGGGGCAGAATGTCAAGAGGGGTAAAAAAAATGGAAATGATTGAATCCAGGCACCTGCTGCATTAACCCATCAGTCTGGTGATCAGTGGTGTGGTACCAAGCCATTTAAAAAATTGGTCCATGCAGTTTCATTTCCACATGTAGATATCACAGGCTTTGACTTCTGAATAGGTAAACGGGGCAGGGAGAAGAAGTGGAGAGAAGAGAAAAAGATATTCAAACCATACAATAAGGTCTGAATGTCTGAGCGTGGAATTCAAGGTCATTCACCATATGGCCCCAACCTGCCTATCCAGTTTCATGTCCCAGCTCACCTCCAAATAAGCCTACTATCTAACTGCCACTCAACATTCCATTTTCTTTCCTTAGCCCATACAATCCCCTTCTCTTTATCTAATTGCTATCCATCCTCTGAAATTAGTTTAAAAGCCACTACCCATCAGAGAGGCTTTTTCCATCTGGTCCAACCTGGTAATTGCTACGTCTTCCTCCTCAGAATTCTTATAGTCCTGCTCATGCTGAACAGCTGGAGGGCAAGGGTGTGTCTTACTATTTTAGAGTTCCAGAGCCTAGTGCCTACCTGGTAGATAGTAGGTACCCAGTAACAGCATGCTTAATGAATTGTCTGTGCCACTTGGTTCAGTTAAGGACAATTTAATGAATTCCTCACCTATGTTAGGCACAGCGGAGAAAATAAAAATAAATAATATACGATCCCTCCAGGAGTTGCTCTAATTCAGTTGTCTCATTTTACAGATGTTGCTCTAATTCAGTTGCCTCATTTTACAGATGAGAAAACAGAGGCCCAGCGAGGGAAAATTACTCATCCACTACCCCTCAAGTAGACACATCTATTGAGTAATTGTCATGTGCTAAACAAAATGCCTCTTATTTATCTCACTTGCAACAAACCTAAGAGAGAAGAATTTGCATCCCCATTTTACATAAAGGAAACTGAGATTTAGTGAGACTGTAACATAACAAAGGCCCATTGCAAGGAGCCAGATCAGGTTTGGACCTCAGAGTCTAACTCCCGAGTGCTTGTTCTTGCTCCCTCTGCTTGGCTCTAAGCTGAGAGTCAGCTCCCTATAGTCCATATGTCTGCATATCGACCACTGGCCTTGACCATTGCGAGTGCTCCAGTGGCTGGGTTGACACATGGTAAGTAAAGGGCTTTGACGAATTTCTGTGCCATGTAGCCCCTATACACACAAACCTAATGTTCTGACCATTAGGTCAGGGTACTTTTTCCCGCCTGGGCAGTTGAGTTAGTGGAAGAAACCTGATTAAATCCCAGAGGGGAACTTGATCATTCTCTGAAGGATTTACAAGTTGTTTGGCCTGCCTAATCTGCTCAGGTACCCTCCAAGGAATATTCAAGGTCTTTGTAGTATAGGCTAGGAATTATTCTGTAAGGATTGTTAACAAGACCCTTACCAACTCTGCTTCAACCAGGTCACAAAAAGGTAGCCAGCCCTTTTCCTTCCTTCCAACGAAAGCTCTGAAAAAAGCAGGCTAGGGGAGGAGTTAAAAATAAGGAAGGAAAGGGAAGGTCCTTCTGCCTCCAAGCCGAGTTGGACCTATTCCCTCCTTGGAGTTAGGGCTGTGGATACAATGACTTATCTGGGATGACATTTACCCCATGTTTTTGGCAACCTGGCTCTAGAGCATGGAAAGAGTCTGACTCTTTATTTATTTATTTAAACTTTTTATTGCAATTTGGGTAAAAGTCTACAGAGCAAATTCGTTTTCCGTTCAACAGTTCATACACGTTTTGTTTCATGAAATTGATTGCAAGCCCCACAGTGTATTAGCTCTCTTCTCATTTCTTGCCTGTGGTTACTTTTACCTGTGTTCCTCTTTCCTATGCATTCCTGCCTCCTGAGCTTTCTCCTGTGCAAATGCTGCCCTTCTAATCTCCCAAACTGATTGTTCTAAGGAGTGCACCTCCCTGATACAATTGTTCCACTCCTAGGCCTATTTATTATTAGGCTAGAAATTTAACCATGGGAGTGAGTTCAGTTCCAGGCTGGAAGGGTGACTATGAACCATAGTCGTAGGCGTCTCACAAGTCATGATCAGACCAGTGAATCTGGTCGTTTTCATGACTTTGAATTTTGTTCTACATTTTTCTCCCCTCCTATAAGAGTCCAACGCTTTAAAATCAGTGGGGGGAAAAAAAAGTTAGATCTGGAGGGACCTCAGGGGTCATCTACCCTGAGGATTTAAGATAAATAAACAGAGCATATTACACAAAAACATTTTTCTACATCCCAGTTTGGTGAGTAGCAACTGGGGTCTTAAAAGCTTGCAAGCAGCCATCTAGATGCTCATCCAGAGCAAAGAAGAATGAAGAAAACCAAAGACAGATGGAGACAATTAGTCCAAGGGACTAGAAGACAATGTGAATCTCAGCCTATATAACCATGAGACCAGAAGAACTAAATAGTCCCCAGCTACCACTCAGAAAGGGATTGGTGCAGGAGATCCTGGATAGAGTGGGAAAACAACATGGAACAAAACTCAAAATCATAAAAGGGAAAAATACAAAACACAAGACCAGGTCTACTGGTCTGATAGAGCCTGGTGAGCCCCCTGAGATTATGGCCCCTCGTTTACCTTTCAGGTCTGGAACTGAACTCACTCCTGTGGCTTCCAGCCAAACAATAGACAGTCATATAGGGTGAACATTTATATCCAGTAGATACACTCCCTAGAGAGATCAGTGGAAGGATAGAAGAGCAGTGTTTACACAGGGAGATAGTTGAGGGGAGCAGTGCACAGCAGGAATGCATAGGAAAGGACACAGGGAAGAGGTAACAGGGAGGAAGTGAGAAGAGAGCTGTTACATTGTGGGAAATTGCAGTCAATGTCATGAAACAAAATGTGTATGAACGGCTGTATGGAAAATGAATTTGCTGTGCAAACTTTCACCCAAATCACAATAAAAAAATTAAAATAAAAAAATTGACCAATTAAGAGTCTAGCACATAAAAAAGAAAGGAAAGAAAGAAACTGCAGCATGGAGGCTGAGTTAGTTGGCAAAGTCAAAGAGCTGCTGGTGATAGAGTAAGAGACCAGTGACAACGCTGCCGCTGCCGGTGTCTAAACAGCATTTCCCTTAAACTCCCACCACCTTCACATCTGCACTCACACCCAACTCTTTGCAGAAGCAACCGAAAGAGAGAGAGAGAGAGAGAGAGAGAGAGAGAGAGAGAAATAAGCCAGCTGGGTCCTGTGCCCTTAAAGTATTTTACTTTCTCTCCCTTCAAGCAAAAGGGCACGAAGAAGGCATTCTCTGTGCTATTATTGTGTCGCCCCGGGTTTCTGACGCGCACCAGCAGAGTCTCAGCAAAGGCTCCCCATCCTTCCTTCCAGCCCTCCTTTTCTCTGATCCATTGGAGTTTCAGAGCGGGAGCACCCAGGATGACACCTGGCCGGCTGAGAGTTGCCGGGGAGGCGCTGGGACCGTGCCCGGAGCGCGCAGGCCTGAGGCGGCTGCTGGGGGTCCCGGGAGCCTTTAGCCGAGTGCGCCGGGGTCTGGTGGCTCAAAGAGGCGACGCGCACGCACTGTCTGACTCGCTCCTCAGCCTCCCGTCGCTCTGGGAGGGCTCGCCTGGGGACCCTAATGGCTTGGCGCCGACCCTGCGAAAAAGGGGCGCGGAGGGCAGAGGCGAGCGCCTCACCTAGGCTCGGCCCCAGCGAGACCCCGGAGCCTTCTCCCTGGCGCACAGGTTTGGAACTGGGCGGCCTCTCCCGGCCGCCGCCTTGGCTGCTCCGGTCCCCATATATAGTCATATCCACCGTCAACTGGGAGGCCGGCAGGCGGCAGCGAATGGGCGAGAGGCCCCCGCGGGAGGAGCGAGGAGGGGGCAGAGGCGGAGGGAGGAGAAGGGGAAAAGGGGCTGGAGAAAAAAGCTTTTCCAAAAAAGTATTGGCTGTCTTGAGGAATGCGGTCGCCCCCTTGGGAAAGTACATATCTGGGAGCTGCCGGCGGCTCCGCGCTCGCACTCCGCCTCGGCCGCCTGACCGCGCGTTCGTCTCGCCGCTCCGCGCCCGCGCCGCGCCCCTTGTCCCGCCGCAACCCAGGGGCCCCTAGCCACCGCCACCATGGACGCCATCAAGAAGAAGATGCAGATGCTGAAGCTCGATAAGGAGAACGCCTTGGATCGAGCCGAGCAAGCGGAGGCTGATAAGAAGGCAGCGGAGGACAGGAGCAAGCAGGTCTGCGCCTCCCCGCTGCCCGCGCTCGGCTGACCCGGTGCTCCCGAACCCTAGCAGCACCTGGGCCTGGCACCTCCTTCCAGTCGACCGCTCCGCGGGGCTTGGGGAGACTCCTCCCGGGGGCGGGCTAGGACGCGCGCCTGGGAAGGGAGAGGGAAAGAGCAAAAGTCCGCCTTATTCTAACTTTTTAGTCTCTTCCGAGGAAACTTACTTCTCTCGTTCCCATCGCCTACCAAGTAAATTGAAGTCCTAGAGGCAATTGATTATCAGGACTGGGATCTCTTTTGGTTGAGGCGGGAGGGTGACTGGTGCCTGGGGCATATGAAGAAAGGGCGAGGGGGAGTAAGAAAAGGTGTGGGGGGTGTCTAGTCTTAAAAGTGTTAGAAGTTCTTCCAGATTTTTGACTGCGGACTAAACTTAGACTGGGATGGAGAGTTGAGGGAAGAGGAGAGGGTCATGGAGTAGTTTGCAAAGAACAAAGATGGGACAGAAAGGAGGATACGGACTGGAGCAGGGAGACGGGCGTTTTTCTGGCCCCCAAATTTTTGGACTTGAGTCTTCTGAGACCTCGGCAGGAACCTCTCCCCGGGGGAAATGGGGGTGCTGGGTGGGCCAGGGTGCCGTTCCAGCTGGGGTGAGAGGATACCTAGGATCTCTTGAACCCCAACTCGGAGGCACCCCAAGCCCGAGAGGCCCCAGCCAACCCTGAGCCCGTGTTTGTGTGTGTGTGTGTGTGTGTGTGTGTGCGTGCCGGCCGCCCGCGCCCGCCCGCTGCTGCTCCACCCCACCCCCCAGCTCGAGGAGGACATCGCGGCGAAGGAGAAGCTGCTGCGGGTGTCGGAGGACGAGCGGGACCGGGTGCTGGAGGAGCTGCACAAGGCGGAGGACAGCCTCCTGGCCGCGGACGAGGCCGCCGCCAAGGTACCCAGGGCGCGCGGCGCGGCGCGGCACACGAATGGCTAACTCTGTCTTTCTCTTTCTCTCTCCGCTCCTCCCCTCCCCGTCTCTCCCTTTCTCTCTGTCCCGCTGTCCCTGTCCTTCTGGTTCTGTGCACCCACACCCCTCCCCTACGGGATCACGCTGCCTGCTGCACCCCCCTCCCCTCCCCCACGGCCAACTCCCAGCTGGAAGATGAGCTGGTGTCGCTGCAAAAGAAACTCAAGGGCACTGAAGATGAACTGGACAAATACTCCGAGGCCCTCAAAGATGCCCAGGAGAAGCTGGAGCTGGCAGAGAAAAAGGCCACCGATGTAAGTGCACGAACACACTACCTCCCTCACCGCCTGCCTCCGTGGCCACCTGGGGGTCACTGCAGGAGCCTGAGAGCAATGGAGGAGGGTCCCCTCTTCCTGCTGAACACCTGCACACACTCCTGCCATGGCCCAGAGCATGGATGCGCCTCAGACTGCTTCTGCACACATTCATTTATATTTCATTCATTCCTGTCTCTCTTTTTCTCCCTTTTCTTTCCCACCTGGGAGTGGAGATGGGTGGGTAGAAAAGCTGGTAGAATAGAGCAGCTAAAATTGGACTCTGGAGGTAAACCTTGCCTCCCTGGTGGCAGAAAACACCTGCAGTGTCATCACCACCAAGGTTTGTGCAAACAGAGAATGCTGGTTTACTTCGCTTTTTTTTCTTTTGCCTTCCCTAATGTGTGGGAAGCCCTATTTTGGGATTGTGGGTCTAGTCAGGGTATAGAGGGCCTAGTCTCTAAATGGAAGTAATGACATGGTGGTACTTTTTACTTTTGCTTACTGAACTTAATGGTAGAGCCCAGAGACTTGAGGCCTCCTGTATCACTAGTTGTTATGTGCTGTGGAGTCAACCTGACTCATAGCGACCCCTCCTTTCGTTTCCGAGGCAGTATCACTAGGGAAGTAGATTGCCCAACCTTCCTTCCAAGGAGTGGCTGGTGGGTTTGAACCACCAGCCTTCTAGTTAGCAGTCAAGTGCCTTGAGCACTATGCTACCAGCACTGTTGTTGTTGTTGTTGTTATGTGCTGTCAAGTCGGACCCGACTCATAGCAACCCCTCCTTGGGTTTCCGAGGCAGTATCACTACGGAAGTAGATTGCCCCATCTTCCTTCCGAGGAGTGACTGGTGGGTTTGAACCGCCAGCCTTCTGGTTAGCAGCCAAGTGCCTTAGCCACTAAGGAAGCCTTAATCCGGCACTTAAGATCTGCCTGGGAAGATGATACTTGCTTGGGTCTGCAGTCTGAGGGCACTGGATCCAGAAAGTAAGCTAGGAGTTATATATAGCTCAGTGCTTTATATGGTATAGTGAGCTAGCTGCCCCCTGCCCCTCCTGCTGGCCCCACCCCCACCTGTCTGCCCTATGACAACCACCACATAGTTTCAGGGGTGATGTACACGCAGCTAAAGCTCAGATAAGCACGTTGTCCAGTGCCCTCTGGAATCTTTTTAAACTGAAGCGCTTGCCTCGTCTGCCATGTAAAATCAAGCCAAGCATTAGATTTCCAAAGGACAGACTTCTTTTCACACAGTTAGCTTCCATTCTAGAAGCCAATTAAGCCTAGAGGCTCAATTAGGAAAGAATTCCTCAGGAAGTTGGTAACAATTCCAAGAATTTATGAGCATCAGGGAAAGCTATGTGTAGAAATTGATCCACTACTAAGTGCAAGGGCAGAATTTGGGGGATGAGAGTAAAATGCAAAGTACCAGGGGCCCTGGAGTCTTGAGATCAGTAAAGGTTTTTGTGGCATGAAAGGCTTGAAATGTATCTCTGAGTGTGCTTGACAAATGAGAGATTCAGATACAAGGCAGTTAGAATTTGACAAAAAGAAATTTCAGTAAAAGCAAGGGTCCTGCAATAGGGGGCTTGGAGAAGCACTGATTTAGCAAAAACATTTACAGTATCCACTACCTGGCTTTAGAAAAAGAACCAAAAAAAACCAGATATAATTCTGTGCCTGTTGTGTGTAACATGGATCAGATGTCTGCTTTGTATGTGACTAAATGGAGGATGCCTATCTCTCCCAAATTCTCCAGCAGGACGTTTATTTCACTTTTTTAAAAGAGCCGCTGATAGATCAAGGAGAGATATTCCTTATAAGGAAAAGAATGCAGAGAATTTGAAAATAGCCCAGTGAGACTGAAGACAAGAGAAGGAGAAAAATGCTACTATAATTCTTAAAGGGGAAAAAAAGATAGTAATTATAGTAGCTATGTAGTGCTATCATGTCGTTATTGAAAAGTCTTGTTTAAGGGAGTGTTAGAATGAGGTGGGGCAGAAGTGGAAAAGAGGATATTTAAAGCCCACTGGGGGGTGGGGCTAGCAGAAGAGGGAGGTTCTTGAAATGAGTTATGGTTCTTTTTTCCTATGGAAAACTGTCCCTAAATGGGGTGCACTTTTTTTGGTAGTATGTTGATGCTTTTCACCTTTAAGACACTTTGGGGGCCTGTAGGGATATTGATGAAGTTTGTTAAGAAATACTAGAGTGATTCCTAAATAGTAAAAGTAGGCAAGACTCAAGAGGAAGAGACAGATGTCACTAGAGAAAGGGGAAGAGTGGGAGAGAGGTCAGCTTCCTGAGGGAGAATCATATTACATTTGAAATTAAGGCACTTCACTGTCAAAAATCAACACTGTAAAAATATTTTTTCTATAAATCTTGTCTTCTACTAATTTACCAACATTCTTTACAAATCCTAGTCCAGAAAAGAGCTCTCCCAAGCCTGTGTGTGTATATGTGTTAGCTGTCATTCAGTTGCCTTGACTCATGGTGACCCCATATGCAATGGGATCATATACCATTGTGATCCATAGGCTTTACATTGACTGATTTTTCAGAAGTAGATCACCAGGCTTTTCTTTCTCTTCTTAGCCTAAAAAATTATAATTCAGGTGGTAGCCTATCTGATAGTTTTATTTTTAATTTTTTTTGTTGTTTTTAGGTCTTGACTTTCTAAACCTGTAGGCTATACTCCAGACCAATTAGATCAGTCTCTCTGTATAATGACATCAGCATGAAAATGAACTCACCTGAAACTGACCTTCCCAGATGTTTGAAAAGTAGGACATTAAGTCACTAGTTGGCTTAGAACGTTTGGCATGTCCACCTTCCTTGGCTCTTCCAGAGGACCCCAGACCCCCACTTCCTCCACCCTCAATGTTGAATACCCACTTTCTGTGCAGGTTTATGGGAGAACCTGTGACCTCTTTGCCTGACCACTGGGTGGAAACAAAGCAAGTGGCTCCACCTACAGGATGTGAGGGCTCATGCTGGGGTTTGTGAGCATCAGCCAAGGCTGTGAGAGTGCTGTAGAAAATGAGTCGGGAAAGCAAAGGAGGTTCATTGTTAGGGTGTTGGAGGAGGACAAAGTTATCAAGGATGTTTTCTTTTTCTTCATTACCCCCACACTTAAACCCATTAGGAACTGACTGTAAGGGCCTCCTGTGAGAAAGTTGGGAAAAGAAAGCCCTGAGACTAAATTTAAAAATGCAGCTGAACAGGAGAGTTTGCAGAGGAAAATTCCCAAGATGATAACTCCTGGTGGTTTTCATCCAGCTGTAGCCAGAGGCTCTCAAACTATTTTTTCTCCTTCCATGGGGTGTCTTCAAAAGGCATCCCCATGCAGCTCAGAAACAGATTCCAGAAGGTCTCAGAGACTGCTCTAAAACCAGAGGCTATAACTAGAAGGGACTCTTGATTTGATTATTTAGCCTATTCTTTTATGAAAGGAAAGTGAACCCCAGAGAGGCTGGCTTACCTGGGATCACACAGCTGGTTACCGGCTCCTGCCTGACTCCTAAGACCAAACCCAAACCAGTTGCTGATTTTATTCCGACTCATGGCAACCCTAGGTGTTTCAGAGTAGAGCTGCATGCCATAGGGTCTTCAATGGCTGTGGTCTTTTGGAAGCAGATTGCCACGAATTTCTTCTGAGATGCTTAGAGTGCATTCAAACTGCCAACCTTTAGGCTAGAACCACCAACTTTTCGGTGAGTAGCCAACCTTGTAACTATTTGTGGTATCCGCAGACTCTTGACTCCTAAGACTGCCTGCATATTTATTGATTATAGCTGTCATTTGAGTTATTAACTCTAAGATATTGTACTAAACACTTTTATTATTTCATAACCCTCACAGCCATCCTATGGAGAAGGTATTAACATTATCCCTATTTTTACAGATGAAGTCCAGAGAGGTCAAGTTATTTGCCCAGTCACATAGCCAGCAGGGAACTAGCAGCCAAATTCAAACTAGGAAGACTATGTTTTAGTATGGGAGGTTTAATCACTATGCTATATCTATATATATGTTCGTGATTTCCGTTTAGTAAGCTGGTGGGGGGAGCTCTGGTAGCATAGTGGCTAAAGCACTTGACTGCTAACCAGAAGGCTGGCGGTTCAAACCCACCAGCCACTCCTCGGAAGGAAGGTTGGGCAATCCTACTTCCGTAGTGATACTGCCTCGGAAACCCAAGGAGGGGTCGCTATGAGTCGGGGCCAACTCGATGGCACATAACAACAACAACAACAACAAGCTGGTGGGGGGCGGGAGTGAGATTGCTGTGGTTAGGATCTTGTGTTCTGCGATTCTTTACACACTGTCCCTTTAGGACACATTCAGCCCCCCAAACCCCTCGCTCTGCTTTTCTTTCTCCCGAGCATGGGGAAATAATCCCAGGCTCCTGATCGGAGAGTTCCTGTGGCCAGCAGGCGGCGCCATCGTCTTTAGCATTCAAGTCCGTTAACGAGGGTCACTTCGGCGCTGGGGAAGGACGCTGGGAGTGGAAGTGAAATTTCTTTCTGGTGGCCTCCCTCCGAACAGGACCCATCCCGCTAGGTGCCCCATCAGCGCTCCCCCAACCACCCGCCAGCACCGCAGCCGCGAGCCTGCGCAGTGCCTCTAACGGTTGGCAAATTCCCGGGTCCACGGCCGGTGCCCCGCCCGCCCGACAGTGCCCGCCCCGGCGCTCGCGCACCCGCCTGCGGTTTGTCTGCATAGTCCCGGAGGCTGCGACTTCCGGACTGATCCTGGGCCGCAGGGGGCGCCGCGGTCGCGCGGAGCTGCCTGGGCGGGGCGGACGGGCTGCTAGGAGCAGCAGCAGCACCCGTGGCGCTCTGGATCGCAGCAGCTGGCCTCTCCCACCGCAGCCTGCACGCCTGCCCGCCGCCGCCCCGTGTGATGGCGGGGAGCAGTTCGCTGGAGGCGGTGCGGAGAAAGATCCGGAGCCTGCAGGAGCAGGCAGACGCTGCAGAGGAGCGCGCAGGCAGCTTGCAGCG